CTGAAGATAGATGAAATTTGGGAAAGTGCATATGGATGTATAGAGCGTAAAGGCTCTATCACATTGCAGCCAAATAACGCGTTTTGACTTGCAGGGCTGTAAATATTAGGTTGTTACATAAGTCTCGTTACACTTAACTACTAACGGTGATAAGTCATGCACCTCATTTTCTTTACAGGGCTTCAGGATACCATTCGATAGAGCAAAGCAAGCTCTACAAGATAGTATGCAAAAGTTCGCACCACTTCGACACTGTAACTTTGCATCCAAAATCTGAGTCGTAGTGAAGGCTCAAAAATTGCGAGAATTTCATATCTTTGTTCAGAAAAATCCTACGAAACTCCAACTTGCTCATAAAAATTGCCCACTGTGTCAAATACTCAAATGTACCGTTCCTGTATTTTTTCCGCTTCTAGAAATCGAGAAAAGGAAATTTTTTAGTTTTTACAAAAATGAAGCTATGCTGTTTCTACTCATGTAGCTGTATACTACAAGCCCTTAGAAGTACGACCGTAAATTTTCAGCTTTCCAGAAGCCCTAATTTTCGAAACTTACCTGAATACCCGAGTGAGAGAAACTAAATTTGGTAATTTTCGAAAACTAGGGCTTCTAGAAAGCTAAAAATTTACGGTTATACTTTCAAGGGCTTGTAGTATACAGCTACATGAGTAGAAACAGCATAGCTTCATTTCTGTGAGAACATGAAAATTTTCTTTTTCTCGCTTTTATATGAGGAAAAAATACAGCAACGGTACATATGAGTGTCTGGTATAGTGGGCAATTTTTATGACCAAGTTAGAGATGCGTAGGGTTTTTTGAGCAAAGATATGAAATTTTCGCAATTTTTTGAGCCTTCAGTGCGACTCATATTCCGGATGCAAACTTACGGTGGGTCGGAGCTGGTGGGACTTTTGCATACTGTCTTGTAGACCTTGCTTTGCTCTATCGAATGGTACCCTGGAGCCCTATCAAGATTATGAAGTTCATGACTTATCGTCGTAAGAAATTAAAGTGTAACAAGACTTATGTAACAATCTAATAACACATATTTTCATTGTCGAAAATGCTAATGAGCATATCTCCTGACTTCATGCGTCACGGCCAGCAACCACAGTGGGTTTGGTGACTGTCCCATCACCCATTGCAGCAGTGGTACTTTGAATGGTCTCACATGTTTTACTGCGCAGATATTGCTCGAAGATTGTAACTTGTCGAAGTGATTAACTTTGCATTTCAGCAAAAAATATTAGGTATGTAAGTGACCTTTTATGGGAATTGTCTAAAAGAGAATATGTATTCTAATATTTATCAAAATTGGAAAGTTCAATCACTTGTCTTTCTTGAGAAATCTACACGTATCCTGTAGGTGTAGCATTTTCTACCTTTCACCCTAATACTATGTTCACAAATTCGCACTAGATTTCAACACTCAAACAGATTTTGCAGTACTACTTTTGTGAGAATGTTAGCTAAGAATTACAAAACCGGTAAATATTTGTACGATCTTGTACAGAATTTGTACAGGTGTGTAAGTAACTACCACTTTACAGACGACAAATTCGCTAAACACTGCCAACAGAACTATAAACTTTCTTTAAGAACTTTCTCCAAATACACCTGTCTAGTAACCTCGGTAATGCCAACAACGTTATTATTAGAATGAGGTCGAAATAAAAGGTAAATAGTAGAAGTACAGCTAAATTGATTTGATAGTAATAATCCAATCGCATATGGACTGTCGAACTCTTAAGGACATGTATTCAAGAAAAGCGAATGGGGTGAGCGAGTGCATCATGCTTACAGGCGAATAAATGGAGTAAGAAATTTGAAGTAATCTTACATATAGGGTGTCCCAAAAAATGTATCCACTATTTGAACCATTTTGAAATAGGTCGCCAAAAATCTGGAACGCTGCAGAGAAATCTAAAATTGCCGAAGCATAAGTTTATGGCCTATTCGCTGCTTCTGAGGAAAAACTCTGCTGTTTGTACGGCTCTGTGAAAGGTTACAATTTTCGAATTTACAATAGAAAAAGCCAAAATTGATTGATTTATGACCATTCTCGAGAATCATAACTTTTCATTGAAACGGTCAAACAGCATATTTTTCCCAATGCAAAGCGTAGGCCTTAGAACTTAAATACAGACAATTTCAGATTTTTGTTCGGCGCTCCAGACTTTTGGGGACCTATTTTAAAATGGTCAAAGCTTAAGTGGTCTTCTTTTTCCATCTTTATCTCTGCAAAGAATGCATAGTGGAAGCTCATCAAAACATATCTACGAAGAGGAAGCTTTTTATAATGAAGCTGGCTTGCCCGGCTCCGCCCGGCCCTGTCAAACACTTTAATAAAGGTCCCATCCCTACCCGTGCACAGCCTTTCCATGTGCACACTTCTACATGCAATTCCCTATTCCCGCTGTGTTAGTAATCAGCATGCTCATCTACCTTTCTCAACAACCCCCAACCCCGTAGCTCAAACTTTGCAAATCAATAAAATCGATAAAAGTAAGGATAATCTAAAAACTGATAGCGCTATCGGCTATCCGGACTCAAAAGGTTGTGACGGATCTTGCTCAAACTCAGTGTATGGGGGTTATTTGAGCTGCTGATGACAAATATCGTAGTCATTTCGCGTGGCAGCAGGTAAAAATCATGAACCTGCCTGAAACCTTGGCAGGGAATTACCTAAAGTGCTCTTTCAAGAATATCGTGCTTAATCACCATGATAATGGCAATTCGTGTAGTATAAAAGTTTCCCACGACCGTAATTACCTTATAGGACCACTGCCGCGCGCGATACACCCGGCGGCTTTTGCCTAAGCAAAAACAGGGGGAGGGAGATTTGCTGCGTGCGTTACGCGTTGGGACAGGTTGTCAGGATGGCGCTGGAAATCGCCATGAAAAACGACCGTTTCTCCAATTCGTGAATATCTGGGATCTAAATTGGCCCAAAAGCGAAAAAATGTCCATTCAGACCCTGCAACTCACCATAACTTCACTATTGCGTTATGACAGCGAGCAAGCTTCATATTCATAAGCGATATACTTGTGAACCGTTACAGGTAAGTTTTGAGCAAATCTGGAACTTGGACCCATCTACACCCAGCGTAACCCAAGAAAATGCACTATCCTGCGAAATCAGCATGATATTCATGTTTAGCGCGCTAAATGACAACCCTAGACGGAGTTTGAAGCAAATCTATGTTTTGGATCCCATACCGTATAACCACCATAACTCTGTGAAAAAGTCCCAGTATGCAGAGAAAGTACGAAATTCGTAATCAGCATGTCGAATAAGTTCTCTGGACCGAACTCCAGCCGAATTCATGATTTTGACTTCCTACGGTACACTTATCGTAATTACACGGGGAGACGTTCTGCGGAGAAAATGTGATATCTGTAATCAGCATGTAAGATAACCCTTATATACGAAGTCTGAACAAGCTCTACGACAAAAAAAATTTTGGGGCCCAGATAGCGAATAGGATAGCCGAATAGCGCCATTCTAATGATGTACTCGTAATCAGCATGCTCGATTACCCCTCTGTACCATCTCCCAGCCCCGTAGCTTGAACTTTGCAAAAAATCAATAAAATCGATAAAAGTAGCGGATAATTCCAAAAACTAATATTGAGTTCGTAATCAGCATGCTCGATTGCCCCCCTGTGCCAACTCCCAGTCCCATAGCTTGAACTTTGCAAAAAATCGATAAAATCGATAGAACTAATGGACGATTTCAAAAACTAATATTATATTCGTAATCAGCATGCTCGATTACCCCTCCCTCTGTGCCAAATCTTAGCCCCGTAGGTGAACTCTGCAAAAAATCGATAAAAATCGATAAAATCGATATTGATCGATGACGAAAAGTAGCCTATGACACCCGCCCGGCCCCGAAGTGTATGTGTGCCAAGTTTGGTCTCGGTTTAGAAATAAAAATTTCTATTCGGAACATACATACATACATACAAACAGACATTCAGCTTTATACAGGGTGTCCCAAAAAATGTGAACATCTTTTGATCGTTAATAACTCCATTGCTTTCATGTCTTTCGCTGAGCTTGAGGCATGTAAGAGGTTCTTCTTTCCTTTTCTTTTCCATTCTTTAGAGCGAGGTTCAACTTAGATTTATAGTATGAAGCGAATCACCGATCTTTCTTTGTTACTGTAGGATTACGGTATAAACTTCTAGCATGTGGATCCATTGTGAAATATGCCAGACTAAATTTTTTTCAAAAAATCTGAAAAATTGTGTACTAGGGTTTTCGCGCACGCTCATTCCACTACACAACTTTTTACGAGAGTTTTCAACTTTTTTGACGATGTAATCACATTTTTGACAAATATTGGGAATTCGGTTATTACGGTTTACCTAGGATAACTTTGGAATGAAGCATCATAGTAAAGTGGAAGTTCACATTTGGAATCAGCGGCCTCTATTACCATTGAACAAGAGCTTCTGGCTTGTTTGGTTTTGTCCCGAGGCAGAATATGGCCTCCAATGGCTTCAAATCCTTGTCGAAGTTTTATCGTAATCCTACAGTAAAGAAGAGCGATCGGTGATTCGCTCATACTACAAATCTAAGTTGAATCTGCTCTATAGAATGGTGCCTAAAGCTCAGCGAAAGACATGAAAGCAAGGGAGTTAATAGCGAACAGTGTTAACATTTTTTTGGGACACCCCGTATTAAGATTCGAAGTGAAGCAAACCCATTGAGACAGCGAAAGGTTACAAATTTTTAAAAATGAAACGACTTTCGGGACTATCTAGTAGAATGATCAAGATCTATCAATGTGCTTATTTTAACAAACTAATCTAATTTCATCACGGTAATGTACTAAACATATGTAGTGAACTTTAGCAGATGCGCACACCGTCAGAATCTTGAGACTTTAAACAACCATGCAGGTGTACAATTCTTTATCATATTTGGCAACTATTTGCGAAAGCCTATGAGTATAAAAGTGCTTGAGAAGTATTGCGAGCATCAATTCGAAAATGCTGTTCCACTGGCTTCTCATTGTAAGTCGCAATACCTGAGATTTATCGGTATCAATTGCTTTTTAGATTTTGCCAATCTATTCCTATGGATATTTTGATGGTGAACACTACTATAGAAAAGCCAGAGAGGACCCGCAGTGGAAAACTGCCTTCACCCAAGCATTCAAACTCCATTGCCGCGATAAGCCAGTAGATATGGTAAGCCTAAATCGCTTCAATGATTTGTTGTAAACCAAGCTAAACGTTATACGTCCACAAAGGCGTTTTTAATTGATGAAAGGAGCTGTTATGCAGTTGATTGGAAAATCGTTTCCAGTTTTCCGTATGTTCTATCTGAGGAAAATTTTAGGTATATGATACCTCGAATCTCGAACTTCTTGACAATCACGTGTTTTATGGAACATCCGATTCAAGCAAATACCGTATATTCAACATGCAGTTAGTTCTAATTGACTGTAGCTGACTCTTTTCCTGCTTGAAATGCGTTTTACAAAATCACTGCATTTCAGTTACAACAAGCAATGGAGCTTCTATCAGACCGCAGATGCGTTTTTCAATAACATTGGCAAAGAACACATAGACCTAACGAAGGAAAACACTTGCGATGTAAGACCAGCAGTACATAACAACTAATACTCCACTTAGATCCGCTCCCTAACTGCTGAAGGTTGTCCTGTACCGGGGAAAAGCCCTGAGTGTGTAGATCAGTGTAGATCTGACACATCAAACAGCTCAATCAAAAAATTCACAAAATTCTCTTTCTGACTTCAGTTAGCAGATGAACAACGCAGTTGTTGCTCTCATTTCTAGCTGAAATGCAATTTTTCAGATATTCAGGAACAATAAATATTTCCTCTGCGAAGTCTATACTGCTTGGTATTGGAGATACGACTGGGTTTACTGCCTCTTTACTAATACTACGAGGAAACAGAAGACAGACTGAACAGTGTTTTTAGTTTTATTTCCACAAAAATGGAAAGAGCTTGTCTTATTGCCTTTTCAGTCTTGGCAAGTAAAAGTGTTGAAGATATTTGTTTTGATTTTTACGATTACATGCATATCGGAGAGAAAGACGGTATTTGGTCCAGAAATTAGCTATGATGAGGTTTTGTGGCATATAAAACAGCAATTGCCAAATGCGGAGCGACTAAGATACTTGTATTAGTTTAACAATACTAACAATTTGTTGTTAATCATGTAGCGTCAGTTCTTTTCTAGGAAAACTTCAGCGAGGCACATGTATGCATTATAAAACGAACAATGAGCAAGTAATCAACAAGGGTTGGTTGTAGTTCTCGGCAGCTTTAGCTACAGAAACGCACAAGTGCATCGTCCAGCAGAGGCCAATCATAACCCAATCAGTCGTCCCCCCCCTCCCCTCCCCTCCCCTCTCTCACATTCATTTCTCCTCGGCCTATCGTTCGCGCATTCATTCGCTTCTTCGAGCATGTATGTGTCCACTCTAAGGTTTGGTTGTTTTGTATGAAGAAAGAGAAATTAGTATTTGTCGTTCCTTGGTAAGGCTGACTATAAATGTCGAGTTTTTTCCCTCTTGAGTGTCACATCGAGTCAAAAATCAGCAAGAATTTCCATCACACACCTGCACACATTCATTTGCGATCTGGACCGGTAGTAATCTTCCCCCTCCCCCCCCCCCCCTCCCCCGACCTGGCGGCAGTCTCGGAACCAGATCGCCGGCATCATGCCGGGGCTGCCAAAAACTAAGACTACACATTTAGGCTGCATAAAGCTTCTTTACAGATAAATTTTCTTTACGAAAATGTCACCGCCACTGGGAAGAACCCTACCATGAAATCTGAGATTTCAGAAATTCTCCTACAAAAAAATATCAAGGGCAGGAGGCGTGGCAAGCCCAGGATTTCCGCTCGCAAAGGGAGAGGGCGACAGAAATATTTTTCAGATGCTTTCCAGAATTTTTGCGGCCCCCTGATCCAAAAATTTTAGAAAAAGGGGTGGGCTAATTTGAATTTTTGAAAATTTTTAAAAATTATTTTAATTATCTTATATTCAAAGCTGAATGTCTGTTTGTCTGTCTATCTGTCTGTCTGTATGTCTGTACGTATGTTCCGAATAGAAAATTCCATTTCTGAACCGATCCGGACCAAACTTGGCACAAATATACTTCGGGCTCCGGCGAGCGTCATAGGCCACTTTTCGTCATCGATCGATATCGATTTTATCGATTTTTATCGATTTTTTTTGCAGAGTTCACCTACGGGGCTGTGAGTTGGCACAGGGGGGGGGGGGTAATCGAGCATGCTGATTACGATTACGCATGCTGATTACGAGTTCGATATTAGTTTGGCGCTATTCGGCTATCCGGACCCCAAAATTTTTTTGTGGTAGAGCTTTAAACTTCGTGTATAAGGGTTTCTTAAGGGCCGGGCATACTTCAAGCGATTTCAATCGCGACGCGATTTGATATTCCAGGTATCCATAACTCATTGTAAGCACATTATAAATGTACAGAAGATAGGGCATTTCATCAGTTTATGTAAGTTATACACGCTATGCATGTGCAGTTTGCTAATGTTGGATCCGAAGACTTCTGGCGAATTGCCAAATCGCGTCGCGACTGAAATCGCGTGAAGTATGCCCGGCCCTTTACATGCTGATTACAGATATCACACTTTCTCCGCAGAACGTCTTCCCGTGTGGTTACGATAGGTGTACGGTAGGAAGTCAAAGTTAATGAATTTGGCTGGAGTTCGGTCCATATGGCTTATTCGACATGCTAATTACGAATATCACCTCTCTTTGCATATTGGGACCTTTTCATAGAGTTGTGGTGGTTATATGGCATGGGGTCGAAAACATAGATTTGCTTTGAACTTCGTCTAGGGTGGTCACTTAGCGCGCTGAACATGAAAATCATGGTGATTTCGCAGGATAGTGCATTTTCTTGGGTTACGGTGGGTGTAGATGGGTCGAAGTTCCAGATTTGCTCAAAACCTTACCTGCAATGGTTCACAAGTCTATCGCTTATGAATATGATGCTTGCTCGCTGTCATAACGCAATAGTGAAGCTATGGTGAGTTGCAGGGTTTGCATGGACATTTTTTCGCTTTCGGGCCAATTTAGATCTCAGATATTCACAAAATGGGGAAACGGTCTTGGATGGCGGTCTCCAGCGCCATCCTGATAACCTGTCCCAACGCGTAACGCACGCGGCAAATCTCCCTCCCCCTGTTTTTGCTTAGGCAAAAGCCGCCGGGTGTATCGCGCGCGGCAGTGGTCCTATAAGGTAATTACGGTCGTGGGAAACTTTTATACTACACGAATTGCCATTATCATGGGGATTAAGCACGATATTCTTGAAAGAGCACTTTAGGTAATTCCCTGCCAAGGTTTCAGGCAGGTTCATGATTTTTACCTGCTGCCACGCGAAATGACTACGATATTTGTCATCAGCAGCTCAAATAACCCCCATACACTGAGTTTGAGCAAGATCCGTCACAACCTTTTGAGTCCGGATAGCCGATAGCGCTATCAGTTTTTAGATTATCCTTACTTTTATCGATACTCAGATATTCACAAATTGGAGAAACGGTCGTTTTTCATGGCGATTTCCAGCGCCATCCTGACAACCTGTCCCAACGCGTAACGCACGCAGCAAATCTCCCTCCCCCTGTTTTTGCTTAGGCAAAAGCCGCCGAAGGGTGTATCGTGCGCGGCAGTGGTCCTATAAGGGAACTGATAAGCTGTCCAACGCGTAACGCACGCGGCAAATCTCCCTCTCCTGTTTTTGCTTAGGCAAAAGCCGCCGAAGGGTGATCGCGCGCGGCAGTGGTCCTATAAGGGAAAGCATTACGGTCGTGGGAAACTTTTATACCACACGAATTGCCTTTATCGTGGGGATTGAGCACGATATTCTTGAAACAGCACTTTAGGTAATTTTCTGCCAAGGTTTCAGGCAGGTTCATGATTTTTACCCGCTGCCATGTACCTACCGTAACTCTGCGAAAAGGTCTCAGAACGCAACGAGAGTGTTTTGAACGTGGTCAGAAGGTCGAACTCTCTGGACCGACTTTCAGCCAAAACTGAGATTTTGCCCCTCCGCAGTATACCCACCATAACTCAGTGAAATCGCCTCAAAATGCCAAAGGAGTATAATATTCGTAATCAGCATGTCAATTAGCCCCCCTCAAAGTTTCAGCGAAATCCACGATTTTAGCTTCTTATGTGTACCCGACGTAAATCCAGAAAATGGCGCCATTCGCGCGAAATGACTACGATATTCGTCAGCGGCTTTAATAATCTCCTTGTACCGACTTTGAGCAAGATCCATCACAAAAACATTTTGGGGCCGGATAGCCGAATAGCCGCGCCATCAGTTTTCAGAACTATCCTTACTTTTACCGGTTTTATAGTTTTTGTTGTTGCAAAGTTTGAGCTTCCGGGCTGGGGGTTGTCGAGGGAGGTAAGTGGGCATGCTAATTACTAACACAGCGGGAGTAGGGAATTGCATGTAGAAGTGGGCACAATGAAAGGTTCTACAGGGATAGGGATAAAACCTTAATCACAGCATTGACAGGGCCGAGCGGAGCCGGATAAGCCAGCTAGTTTAAAAATAAAAACAATAACAGGAATGTTTTGTGCATTTGATAAATTAAATGCTAAATACAAACAAAAAAGTCTTGGAATTTTTCTGAGTTTCTGAATAAGTTACGATGGTCCAGAACACAACAGAATGGTGATACTTGAAAGGGCAGTCATCTTATATATAAAGCTGAATGTCTGTTTGTATGTCTGTCTGTATGTATGTCTGTATGTATGTATGTATGTACGTATGTTCCGAATAGAAAATTCCATTTCTGAACCGATCCGGACCAAACTTGGCACACATACACTACGGGCCACGGCGGGTGTCATAGGCTACTTTTCGTCATCGATCGATATCGATTTTATCGATTTTTATCGATTTTTTTTGCTGAGTTCACCTACGGGGCTAGGAGTTGGCACAGGGGGGTAATCGAGCATGGGGATTCCGAATACAATATTGGTTTTCAGGATTATCGATTACTTTTATCGATTTTATCGATTTTTTTGCAAAGTTTGAGCTACGGGGCTGGGAGTTCGCACAAGGGGGTAATCGAGCATGGGGATTCCGAATACAATATTGGTTTTCGGGATTATCGATTACTTTTATCGATTTTATCGATTTTTTTGCAAAGTTTGAGCTAGGGGGCTGGGAGTTGGCACAGGGGGGTAATCGAGCATGCTGATCATCCCCAAGGGGGGTGATCAGCATGCTCGATTACACCCCTGTGCCAAATTCCAGCCCCCTAGCTCAAATTTTCAAAAAATCGATAAAATCGATAAAAGTAATGGACGATCTTGAAAACTAATATTGTATTCGGAATCCCCATGCTCGATTACCCCCTTGTGCAAAATCCCAGCCTCGCATGTCAAAATTTACAAAAAATCGATAAAATCAATAAAAGTAATCGATAATTCTGAAAACTAATATTGTATTCGGAATCCCCATGCTCACTTCCCCTGTGCCAACTCCTAGCCCTGTAGGTGAACTCTGCAAAAAAATGGATAAAAATCGGTAAAATCGACATCGATCGATAACGAAAAGTGGACTGTGACACCCGCCGGGGCCCGAA